AGTCTCATTAAAGATATAAGAACTAAAGTAGCAGCTTACATACGTCTCACTACTGTGCACAGGGCTCTTCATTAACTATAGTGTTTTGTGGGCAGAAAAGAGTATGCCGCAATCCTTCAATGTGTATTAACGGTTTTCATATTTCCACGACTTTTTTAACTACACAGACATTTAGGTTAACCCACGAAGTTATTCTTCACCACTTCACCGGATACGTAAATAAGTAGGTAAGTCAGCACGCAAAATTTCCAAAAACAGATTCATTGGTCCTCAAAGGATTCTTACACCTTTTGCTACCTTGCTGTGATGAAATCTCACGGCGAGCTACACGGCTCTCGTATTCGAATATTAAAATTCATAAAAACTGAACAAAGCTTTTATACGATTGTTGACCATATCATACCTAGTAATTATAAACCCAACGGTGCTATTAAATAGAGATAAAATCTCACAGTGCACTTAATTTTCAATAATTTACATCAGATAACGTGATAACAGATGAAGTAGGTAAAATGAAACCTATGCCGCCTCACACCCAATATATTTAACTAGAGACCTCTCTTAATCTCAGTTTTGTGTACACAGTACTGGATACTATGCACATAAAACACACGTGTTGTGTATAATAGTGTTGTTAGCCATTTTGCTAAACGCGTTAATTGTGGTAAATCATCCCGATAATGGTCACCGGTCTAGATATTTTTAAGTGTGACAATTTTTGATACTGCACGAATAAGTATTCAGTAGCATTCTAAAATTTAATTTTATCAATAACTTTTCATTAATTGTTCATTTAGCAGAAAGTAGAGGATATTACATGAATACTATGAAAGTATAAACTATGCTATCTAGTAATATCAGCTATAGAAGCTTGGGGTGCAACTGGCTGAAGAGCCACCCGAAAGCCGCGAACATTTATTTATTAAAAAAATGCATAAAGAAATTTTGATTCTGTTAAAACTCTGTTTCTGTTAAAAAAACACGCTATCAGTGCCGCTAGCGGTGAAAAACTATTTGACGATATGACCATGTTTATCATGAAATAGCAATGTTGTGTTTAGTTATTAACATCGTTAAACGATTAAACAGTGGTAGAGCCACGCAGCAGCTTTTGCTGTTACACGTAAACACAGAAGCTCTGCTTCTGCGTTTCATCTGGTGAGTCCAGGTAACCAGAGGCCCAATTCCCCCCCCACCCACATCAACATGGTCTTGAAGGTTCGGACCTGTCCACCCTTTGGCTACGCGTAGATAGCTCGTCTACGGGTGCCTCTATAGGTCCCATAGCGGTAATGCCGAAACAGACCGATTCATCAACCACGTCCAAATGGCTACATATTCCTTTCTACAACAGGTCCCATCCGCAGAGATCGTGATCCTTCGCGATGTTAACGTCCACCACGCCGAATGGCACGGTTCACGTTTAACCGATCATGCGGAGAGATCTGTTTATGACTTTGCCTAGGCATATGCTCTGACACAACTGGTTACTTCGCCTATGCGGATTCCAGATGTGGAGGATCATACACCTTCCCTGTTGGGTCTTCTGCTGACCTCTCATCTGGACAAATATCAGGTTTCCGCCGACGCCCCTCCTGGCTCTTCAGACCATTGTCTGATCCGGAGTGTGGTGGCATTCACGCTCCCCTCGCGGTTGCGTTCTGTTGTTGCCGCCGTGTTTGGCATTACAGGTCGGCGGATTGGGACGAAATGCGGTCTTACTTTGCATCCTACCCATGGGGGCGGGTATTGCTTCTCGCCGGATGATCCCAGCGCTGTTGCTGACTCTGTCACTGATGTAGTGCTACAGGGAATCGAACTATTTATTCTATCATCTGTGGTACCCATCGGAGGCAGATCTCAGCCTTGGTTTGGTCGCTCCTGTAAGAATGCATTACGGCGTAAGCAAGATTGCTATCAGGCCTGGGCTGAGGCTTCGGCGGCTCGGGATGTAAACACCAGCATGCTTAAAAAGAAGTATAACTTCGCCTCCAGGTCCTTCAAAAGAATTATTGCCAAGGCAAAGTCAGAGCACATAGACAGAATTGACAAGAAACTAGTTCGCCTTCCTTCGGGAACCTGTGCATTCTAGTCTCTCGGCAAGGCTGTCCAAGGGAATTTCTGTAACCCATCACTACCATCTCTGCACAGGGAGGACGACTCACTAGCCCACGCCACAGAAGAGAAAGCCGACCTTTTAGGCTCCCTTTTTGCGTCCAACACGACTCTTGATGACGGGGGGAACACACCGCCGCAAAGAAGGCCAAATTGTCCTCTAAAAAGCTTGGCGTGCTCAGCAGAGCGTGATAGTATTTCATACCGACACAACGCCTCCAACTTTACAAGGCGCAGGTTCGGCCTCACATGGAATACTGTTCCCATCGCTGGGCTGGGGCTCCCCAGTGCCAGCTCCTTCCACTTGACCGCATCCAGAGCGGCTTGAATCGTCGACGACCCAGTCCTTTTCGATCGGCTCGATTCATTGGCGCTGCGAAGAGATGTTGCATCTCTTTGCATTTTCTTTCGCATTTACCACGGGGAGTGCTATGAGGAATTGTTCGAATCAATTCCAGCCGCCAAATTTCACGAACGCACATCGCGCAAAACTTCTGATACCATCCACACCATCTGGATGATTAGCGATCAACTACTGTGCGATTTAGAAGATGTTTTCTTCCTCGCATAACTTCCTTGTGGAATAGTTTACCACCAGCGATTTTTCCGGACCGATACGACTTAGGGACCTTCAAGAAAAGAGCCTACTACTTTTTAAAAGGCCGGCCACGCATCTGCAATTCCCCTGGTTCCCCTGGTGTTGCGGTTGTTCGTGGGCGGCGGTAGTCACTTACCATCAGGTGAGCCGCATGCTCGTTTGCCCCCTCTCTTATAAAAAAAATCTCTATTCATTGATTTGGCTAAGCTATATCATGACATGGTCAACAAACAGTAATAAATATCATGAAATGATACCATTTCAGGAAATAATGATTAATCAATTTACATACAGATATAGTATCAAGCGTATGAAAATTGATGTTTTTTTAGTTCAAAAAAATATCAATTTTCATACGTTTGACAGATGTCACTATTATCTATAATTATTAAAGTTTAATTATTACACTTTTAAAATGATATAACGATTATTATAAATCGAAATTTATAAATCTAACTATTAAAACATAAATGTAAGATATTTATATAATTTAATTTATTAGTTACTAAAGGCAAAATATAGACTTTTTTATTTGATGATGGATGGCGCTGTTTTGATAATTAAAACGTATATCATCAGCGGAGTTTCAAATTGTTATGCAAAGGTTTAAACTAATTTTATACTTTATTTACAAATATGATATTTATTTGAAAAAAAAACACCGTTATCCCGCCTATTAACAAACATAATCATATATAATAGAAAGACCTTCTTTTTTAAGCTCCTTAATCGGATAAAAATAGCCTATAAGTTGCACCGGGTTACTAACTACATACATATAAAATTTAATGGAAATCGGTCCTGTAGTTTTTGCGTGAATCGGTAATACACAGACAAATAGACAGACAGACAGACAGATAAAAATTCTAAAAACCACTAATTTGGCTTCAGTACCCTTTATTTAGTCCCCTGGACTTGTTTTTACAAGAGTATATTAGAACTACAGACACAACTTTTCTACAGATTTACTATATGTATAGACAAGTGGTACAGAAGCTTAGCAGTAAGTTGCAGCGCTGAGTGTTGCAGGTTCTAATTGTGCATGGGACTTGTATTTTGGCCTAAAATAATTGTTCCGGGTTAATATGTTTGCCGTTGTGCTTTAAGTATGAAAACTGCTTTCACTATACAAGAGGAATTCCTAGTGTAACAAGGTTACTACTCTCTCTCTCTCTCTCTCTCTCTCTCTCTCCCCCTCTCTCTCTTTCAACTCTTCTTTTTCTTTTGTTGCAATACTTCTCTTTTTCAACTCCTCAATTCAACTCAATTAATTATTTTATAAAAAAATACTGATATAATAATTATTTACAGCTTAATAAATTCCAGTGCTGAACATAGGCCTCCCCTATAGATTGCTTCATAGGGTCAATCATATCTCCTGAGCAGTTGATATCTTCCGAAGATATTTAAATGTATCGATGTGATTAAAAACGACTTAACGACGGTAAATTATCTTCTATTCATCTATAACCGGAACAATTATTATTGGTTACCATAAAAACACTGACCTGGTCCCGTACCGTCAAATACTTCCACTTCATGAGCTTAACTGCGTAATTTTATGCTGGTATTGTTTACAAGAGTGATCCTTCCGTGGTCGAGCGGACTCATTAGTGCTGGAGCCGTAATACTTGTACTACGGGAGTTATTTTCTTTAATACAAGAGGAGGCAAACGAGCATGCGGCTCACCTGATGTTAAGTGACTACCGCCGCCCATGAACAACTGCAACACCAGGGTAATTTCAGATGCGTTGGCGGCCTTTTAGAAATGTTTAAGCTCTTTTCTTGAAGGTCCCCAAGTCGTATCGGTCCGGAAAAATCGCCGGTAGTAAACAATTGCACAGAGAAGTTGTACGAGGAAGAAAACTCCAAGTAAAACAGTCGTGGACTGCCAAGCATCCAGATGGTGAGGATGGTATCATGAATTTTGACGCGACGTGCGTTCGTGAAATTTAATTATCGCATAATATGATAACAGAAAACTTTATTAGAGTTTGTTTTTTATTATTGGCAGTTTCTATTTTCATTTTAAGTTGTTATAAGGAAGACGCTGCTGCTCATCTCCAGATTTGTTTCCCCCTGTCACCTCTAACATCACCCGCAGGATGATATGGGTAATAGATATGCTTACACCGCCACAACATCGCATTAAACATAGCCAATTCTATAATGTTTCAATTCGCGCAACTAAATAATGCAATTGAAATTTAGTATATTGAAAATTAAGCTTATGCTATATGTTTTTAATTGTTTCAGAATAATAACAACAAATTTTTTTCATTTCAGATGCAGGTATTAGTTGCTCTTATGGTTATTGGGAACATCCGCTGTCAAGATGGATATGCTGATCAAAATAATATCCACATGCATCAAATAACCCCTAATGAGAAACTGGTTGAATCAAGTAATAGTTACAGTACTAGTTTTGTACAAAATAATCCTGATAGTGACTCAATTAATTCTATAAATGCGCAATACCAAGGTATTGATGATACGAACAAAAATTCTGATTATAATCGAGGAGAGCGAGGAAAGTCCAGGAAGATCTATCGAATAAAGAATCCTTTTCAACAACAAGAGGAAGAAGTTATTACCAAACTACAAAACTCGTCACAAGACAGCCAAACTGGGGCTAGTAATCAGTATGCTATGATGCAGTACTCTTTACCACCTGAGCAATTTCTACAACAGATGCGAGCACAAAACCAGTATCATCAACAGCAGCAGCAAGTGTCTACTCCAATTCCAACGTTTGAATATACAGCCACTCCTCAACCTCGTTATCAGTACTCTACAATTACACCATCACATTATGACAACGGAAACCAACAATATACCCCAATATCAATAACTGAATCTAAAAATTCTCCCCAAGTATATAATCCTAATACGAATACTTATCAGTATAATAATAATGCATATTCATTCGGGATAGATGCCATTCAAAGCACTCCTTCTTCGGTAATTTTGTATTTATCCACAAGTTCACCAAACAATCAATATGTTGGAACAACGTCTAGTAATTATGTTTCAAGTCCTTCGCCCATTTATCTGTCTAGTCCGGCGACTTTGCGGTCATATATATCTTCAACATTAGCAAACACACAAACGGGATTACCAAGCTATCATAGCAATATCAATAGGCAATCTTCAACAGTTGAAAATAATACATTAAATTATGGAACAAACCAAAAAACACTAAATATGCAAGTTAATCATTACGATAACTCGGGAAATCGAGTTCAATATCCAATGCATATGCAGCACCAGTATCAAAATGAATTCCCACCTTCAACCCCTGTTCCAGCATCTTCTCCTTATCCTGATTCTAGTCACAGTTCTTGGCAAAATTCTATGAATTATGGTTCAAGCAATTTCCCCTATTCATTTCAAGAATTCACGCAAACAAATCAACAAAATGTTCAAAATAAACAACAAGAAACCCAACAAGAGCCTAAGCAAGATTACCAAAATAGTGATACCCACCGTGTTGGCAGTATGCCATCAGCAAATAATTTATTTTTAAGTTTTGCCCAACCCGACTATCAAACGCTTGCCAATAATAAAAATAATGGTAATGATAATGAGCAACAAAATAGACAAGGTGAAATGTACTCCCATGGTGATTATGGATGGAAATTAGATAGTAAAAAATCGTTAATAAAATATGATACCTCTTCATCATCAGAAAATTATCCAAAACTTCAAAGTAACAATTACGAAACAAATAGCAGTTCTTTAAATCCTACTAATCGTTATGTTGATAATGGTAAAACATATAGTAATGATCAAACGTCTGTAATGAACCCAGGAAAGACAGACGACACACAAGAATTTGTAAAATTAGCTGCAAAAGCACATGAAAATATGAAGAAACAACAACAATCTTACTTGAATAGTTTACCATCTCATACACAGTCGGTGCAAAATGTTTTGTCAAACACGGAAATGGGTAACTTTGTTTCCGGAAGTAATAATAATCAAAAAGGTATTTTATACGAGAATTCAAACTCCCGCTTTAATGTTCAGCCTGAAATGATATCGGAATCTCCCTATTATTATTCCAACACTAGAGAAAGTACGTTGGATAGTAAAATGAAACAGCCATTCGAACAAAATAATGCAATTCAAAATCAAATAAAGAATGATCCTTTAAACGAAAATCCAATTCCTGAGATGCAAATGAAAATAAATGCCGGCATTGAATTTAACAAAGGATATAATTCAACATATATTAATAAAGATATTAATGACCAAAACTTTAGGCACAATATTAATCCTGTTACTCAAACTAGTTATGAAAATAAAAACATAATTAATGGTTTTAATTACCGATCAAAACCTGGAGATGTCTCACTAAGTGAGAGTTCATATCGGTTAGAACATAATTATGAAAATCCTAAACAATCTGAGCTTTTGTATAACTCAAATATTCCTTCTCATAAGCAGCATATAAATGACAACATGGCACCTTTTCATTACTTAACTCAAACAAATTTGGATAATATACAATTTAAGAATAACTTACAACAACAGGCTATTCAAAATCAAGGAAATTCTGACAATATTAGCAGCTTAAAGCTTAACGACATGCCATATCGGCTAACACAAGGTTTGAGTACAGGCAATTTTCAACCACAAAATCATTTCAATCACGGAATTCTTTCTACGCCTATACCTATAGTACTCAATCAAAATGTTAATTCCCACCAAATAGATGTAGCTGCAAGTATTCTAAACAATCTTATGCGCAATAAACCAGTTGAAATGATTTCTAAACCTAATTATGACCCTCAAATTGCAAATTTACTACCATCATTAAATGGGTTTAAAATAAGTAATCCTTACAATCTTGACCTTAAACTGGTGTCAGAACTTTTAAAGGGACGGACAACATCAGACGATATATATACACCTATTCGTAATCAGTTCAATCAACCAAATCCTTATAGGTGGGACGCATCACAATTACAACAACTTATGTTGAAGAATGATAATATAGGAAGTTTAGCTGCTTTGAATGATGGTATCAGTGGTCTAAATAGTCCCTATTTTGAGATACATAACAGAGACCGCTATCCTTATCCAGGTGTAAAATATTCAAGAAGCCAAGAGGAGGAAGATGTTGTTGCTGTTCCATCTCATAATCATCCTATTGGTGCCGTTATTGAACAAGACGACTTGGAAAATGAAGATAGAGAAGTTAGTGATACTGATATAATAGATTCAGGAAATGATCAGTTCTCTATTGACAATGATGAAGACGAACCTAAAATACATCCAAATTTAAAAAGTACTAACGACAGGTACAGGCATTCGTTTATGTTAAGCCGTCTTTTCCATCAAAGAAGAATGCCTAAAGTTGTAATAGAAGAGCCATATCCTTTATTAAAACCACCTCCTATCCAAACATCTAAAGGTAGAATACGTAATGGAATTGAACAAAGCAATCGGAAGCAACATGTAAATAAAGTTAAGCTGTCGCGAGGCTTAAAGCGTGGTGAGTCTTTATTCGAAGATAAAAATTTTAATAAAGATTTAAAATAAGCAGTGGCATCAATATTTCGACTTCTTTATCATGTAGCTAAAAAAAAATTGAAACTTATTTTTTCTGTACGATTTTCTTTAGTTTCGTACTTGCCCTTATTCTGTATACAAAATGTTGTACTTATTAGAAATCTTAAACATTATCATATGTGTCGAATAAAGAGGTTTCCTTTATTTAAATTTGATGGTTGCTATAGGTATAGTTATTTATCTACAGTAACTTTTTAGCTTGAATAAAATTGTTTCATATGTTTTGAGATAAAAATGGCATTTACTTTATAATAAATAGTTGTAGGAATGCAATGTAGAATGTAAATAGCTTTATTATTCCAACTCTTCACACCATAAGTGATACAATAGTATTGAAACATCAATTTTCGGAAGTAAAGACTAGAAATGAGTTGGGGGGTGACTCGAACTTTAGGGCTAGTCTATCATGTAGAGGATGTCATAGGGGTCATGGTTGAATAGGGGCAAAAAGTTCTCATCACACTCCTAGGAGGTCAAAATGGCCAAAAACCAAAAAATTTAAACTTTCTTATTTCGGCTGTAACTCCGCCTCCTTCGGAGGTTCATACACAGTCTTTATTTCCCGCATTCCACTAGTTGTATTAACACGTAATTTGTAAATATTTATTAAGTATAGTTATGGTTATTAAGTATTTCATTATTTTGGATAAATTATAACAAATTAAATACCTGTAAACTGATAAATTGTATATTTATTACTAATCTAACATGATATTGAAACAATTAAAAACTTTTTAATTAAGTTTTATATTTATTGAAAAAAAAAATCACCTTATCTATAGGACGAAATAGGATTGATGAAGTTTTTTTCTCCCACTACACAGAGCTAAAATACTTTAAATTTAATCTATACAAATAAATAAAATTGAAGTGTCTGTTTGTAATTTCAAAATTACAGTTTTTTTACTAAATGCATATGTAAGTAAATACGATACCTATAACTAAAATACAATTTTTAAAATTTTTGTCTGTCTGTCTGTCTGTCTGTCTGTCTGTCTGTTTGTTCCGGGTAATATCCGAAACAGCTGGACCGATTTTGACGGGACTTTCACTGGCAGATAGCTGATTTCATAAGGAGTAACATAGGCTACTTTTATTTTAGAAAAAGAATCTGGGTTCCGCGCAGAAACATAAAAACCCTAACGCGCGAACGAAGTCGCGGGGAACAGCTAGTAGTAAATAAATCATTATACGTCGAAATTTTCACGGATCAATTCGTAGTTTACCTGATAGTGAAATTAAATTATAATTTCTAAATGTTTTGATAATTATTGTACAATGCATTGCGTGTGTTTCGCTTTCTTACTGCGGCTCTAGCTAATTTGAGTCGGAGACTCAATGATTAAAATTTTAAAACGCAACAGATTTTCTATTACTACATCATTTGAAACATCTGTCTCTTATAAACGTTTGAATCAATGAATTTAATGGTGCAATCACTTTGTGTGTACGATGGCTCATTAATATTTCATAAAGGATTAGTGATTAAATACATTTATTTATGCATACATAGCGGCATAACTTTGCAGGAGCGTGTTGTTATTTACAAGTGGCGGTGACTAAAAGAGCATATATATAATATGATAACAGATAGTTATTGAATAATATGACCCATAGCCGGTATTTTGCGCCAACGTGCTAGCGACGATGCATTATTTTATCATGTATTTTGTATAAGTAATGATTAGTCAGAGTGATTGACGGGAGTATCACTATGTTTAAAAGCATTGATAGTTTTATTAAAGCGTTTTATTTTATTTTGGCGTGCTCAGCAGAGCGGGACAGTATTTCATGCCGGCACACCGCCTGCTACTTTACAAGGCGCAAGTTCGGCCTCACATGGAATACTGTTCCCATCTCTGGGCAGGGGCTCCCCAGTGCCAACTCCTTCCACTTGACCGCATCCAACGCAGAGCGGCTCGAATTGTCGACGACCGAGCCCTTTCCGATCGGCTCGATTCATTGGCACTGCGAAGAGATGTTGCATCCCTTTGCATTTTCTTTCGCATCTACCATGGGGAGTGCTCTGAGGAATTGTTCGGATTAATCCCAGCCGCCAAATTTCACGAACGCACATCGCGGCAGAACTCCCGATACCATCCACACCATCTGGATGATTGGCGGTCCACCACTGTGCGATTTAGAAGATGTTTTCTTCCTCGCACGACCTCCTTGTGGAATCGATTACCATCAGCGATTTTTCCGGACCGATACGACTTAGGGACCTTCAAGAAAAGAGCGTACTCCTTTTAAAAGGCCGGCAACGCATCTGCGATTCCCCTGGTGTTGCAGTTGTTTATGGGCGGCGGTAGTCACTTACCATCAGGTGAGCCGCATGCTCGTTTGCCCCCTCTCCTATAAATAAAAATAAATTGCCCTAATTCGGAGAATATTTGCCGGTCATCATTATTACAGCCTATTACAAGCCCACTGTCTCTAGTTGTGTTATTCCCCCAAGGAATTACACCATGGTCCTGAGTCACATACATCAATTGATTTCCTGCATCTCTTACCTTCGCGCTATGTGGCCTGCCCATTATCACTTCAGCTTTCTGATGCGGTTACTCTGGTTGTACTACGGATATGCTCATTACGAAGTCTATCATGCAGATAGACTCCGAGTAAAGCCCTATCCATAGCTCGCTGAGCGACTTTAAACTTCCTCATACGGCCAGCAGTAAAGATCACGTCTCCTCTAGTTTCTTCCCCACTCGTTTCTCTGAATCTCTTTTTTATGTAAGCTTTAGGTAATAAATGTCCGTCCGTGAAGTTAAAATTGGGCTTGATTTTTTCTGTATATATTTTCCGCTGGCATTACTACAGGAGCAGTTAGCTGAATAATAACTAATTTAACTTAACACACATTCTCTTGTAATTTTTTTATCTCATGTATTTTTTTATTGTGATTTAAATAAAGTTTTCTTTCATTCACACTTTCTTTTGCGTCTCAGATCCATATGCCATCACTCGTAACACTGGTTGTACACTCTTGTTATCAAGTTTAAAGGTATACGTGATGAGACGAAGTTGGACTTACTAGCAGTGACCTTCTACGACCTGATAAAGAAGAAATAGAAGAAAGTTAAATGTACATATAATAATAATAATAATCATCCCGGTCAGCCTCACGGGTCATCTGAGGCGACAGGAACTCCGTGACAGACCGCTCCGGGTTCAAATGCTGAAGGCGGTGCTCCTCGATACTGTTCGCTTCGTCCGCTGGTTTCTTTATCTTTCCCCTAACCCTCGGCCGTTTGTTCTTCCCTACCAAGGGCTTCCATCTGGTTGGGCTTTTATTTATTTATGTTAGTATATTTAATGTATATTTATGTATAATTATCATTTTCTTTTATATATTTATTCATACCAACCAGATGAGAATGCTCTACGAATGCTCTATAGTAATAATGCCCTCCACACCGAATTTTTCTCACGGCGACCAGCCTCGACGAAGATTAGCCATCGTCGAAGAACAGGATTTTATAGTGCCCAAGTGTGTGCGCAATCACAGGTGCACTCTCTATTCCTTCACTCTCATAGTCCGACGGAACGGTAAACCGACACGACCGGAGAGAGATCAGAGGCAAGACCAACAGCTTTACGTGTTTTCCATGAGACACCGCCAAGTTCCTGACTCCGGGCAGCTACTAAGGATTTCTTTGATTTTTTAGCCCCACCCGGGATAGGAACCCCGGTCCTCATGACCAACAGTCGCGTTTACAACCACTAGACTAACGAGCCAGTCGAGATGTTGTAATATTACTATAGTGTGCGCTAACACAGAGTCGATAACATGTTATGACCTACCGATGCCTGATATGAGGATATTTTCGACGAGTAATTAGAATACAGAAAGGAGGGCACAATCGAAATATAACCAAAATAAAAAATTAACAGTAATTAAGTTCCCACTAAAATGTTGCAATAAAGTGTAGTATAGTAAATATATATAATGTAGTAAAATAAACCTATAATATAGTAGCTGGTATTGTATGTGCTTTGGTCGCTAGGCCACGTGGTCCTAGAATATAATACACATATATATATGACGGTCGCGCCTAGTCTAGCGAAGAAACTCATTGGTTTTACATCTGCATAATAGTGGTATTTTATATTATAATGTTTATATTATAACTTTCACTGCATATTTGCCAATGTTGTCGCATAAGTTATTATAAATTATGATTAAAATGATGGCTAAATAGTAAAAGTGAAGAGATTGCCTATACATGTCCCACAGGGCACAGCCATCTTATTACATATCTACCGCACGGCCGCAATGTTGGTGGATTTCACATTTCTGAAATATATTTTTGATTTCTGAGACTTCCACTTTTCCTCGCGATGTTTTTCTTTACTGCTGAATACTTAAAATTTCAATTTTGCTACTGTTTCTAAATTTAATATAATTTATTTATATATATATATATATATATATATATATATATATATATATATATATATATATATATATATATATATATATATATTTTACACTTAAAAAAGGATTACAAAGAGTGGACTTAGTGCCTTTTGACATTCTCTCCTGGAGCATGTGGAAAATAATGTGATAAGTATTAAAACTACTCTACGTGGTAGAGCCATGCTGCAGCTATATTATGGTTGTAGCACGAATGGGTCGGCTCGACCGGGGAAGGACCACGCTCTCACAGAAAACCAGCGTAAAATAGCAGCTTAACGCTGCTGTGTTTCGTATGGTGAGTGTAGAGAACCGGAGACCCTATTTACTGGCAAAAAGGCATTCCATCTTAGTCCTCACGGGTGACAATGCATCTGCATCTTGAGTCTTTATTGAGGATAGATGTAGATGTCTATGGGTCACAGTAACCACTTACCATCAGGTGGACTGTGTGCTCGTTTGTCACCCGATCCTATTAAAAAAAAATTAACATTATAGTAAATCAGAGAGAAAAAACTACTAATAATTTAGTACTTAAAAGCTAAATTGT